TCCCCAGTGCGTGGACGACGACAGACACACGAAGAAGGAGAGAGCTGGAGGTCGACACGGTGACCCCTGCACCACCTGCTTCTGACGCCGACGGAGAGGTTCTCTGTGTGTCCCGAAGCTGCTACGTGGAGTGTGAAACCCTCATATCTTCCGACACTTGCTTGCTCCGCACCCCATCTGCCCACTGTGCGGATCCGCGCCCTATCCATATCCCTTCGTTCGTAATCCAACTGCACAAATGGATTCCCTCGTTGTTTCCACCAAACAAGAAATAAAATTTCTATGTCTGCCTTTTTTGTATTTCCAGCTGAGACCTGCAGGTTCCAGTGGCACGTCTCTCCCTGCCACCTCCCCCTCTCTCGATTGTCCTGGTGTGCCTCCCCCCACCTACTGTGAGACATGCTGGCTCTGATACTCTGAGAACGAGCGATCCTGAATGCGCAACGGATGACCCGTGCCCTCTGTCAGTGCGAGGAGGCTCACACGGTTGCCTCGCCCGGGCATGCTTTGCCGACCGTGGCGCGAGTCCGCAGACAAGTTTTCTCTCCCGGTGTCTGCTGCCCTCTCTGTCTCAGGTAACAAATACCACCAGACGTGACTATTATGCACCTGGACCTTACATCAGCAATAATAAGATGTGACTACGTTTTTGCCCAATAGGAGATGAAGTTATCCACCAGTGGACCGCTCCTCCTGACATCTCTCGCCCAACACCAGCAGTTACAGCGTCTTATCAGCGTACCTCGACCGGCAACGCGACACTCGCCAACCCCCACTCCACTGCCACCCATCTTTTTTCTTGTGCTGAAACTACCACCCACACTAGTGCCCTACAATCACTACACAAACACAACACACCCACCTCAGAGCTGCCATTCTGCGGCCACCACGCCTGACCACACTGCTGCCACCGGTGTCAAGGACGATCAACCGTGAGCAGAGCACCTGATGAGCGTCTTGGTGTCCATTGCCACATCGAGAAGGCAACCTGTGTCTTTCGGGAATCATCTCCCTCACTGATGCACCACTGCCGGGTAGATTGACTGCCAGGCTACAAAGGTGGTACTGCCAGATCATGTGACTGCGCCTGTGTGTGTCCTGGTGAGCTTACGTTTCTCTTTATTCCTCCCTCTTGCACCTTTTGCAGAAGCATACTATACATTATATTGATCACTTTTCCCACGCCACTAGATGGTGAACTTGAGACGGTTGTGGTATCGGCAGTCCTGGACATGGAGTACAGTAACTATCTCACAGACGGAGATTCTGTCCAGAAACAGCTCAGAGAAGCTCTCGCTGGCCTCGGTCTGGAAGTGGTTGACATCCGAGCTGAAAGCTATGGCCTCAAACAGTAAGAATCCGAGTCTTTACCAATTGGACTGTACTGCATTTAGTTGATATTAAGCTTTTCTATTCCAATTCACTCCAGGACTCAGATTATCATTTCGCTGTCCTCAATGAGTGGCGATAAGATTCTACTTGAAGATCTTGAGGCATTGCTGCTAGAACAGCTCAAGTCTCCGTCAGTCATGTCCATCAAAGTGGGTCACCACGAAGAGCCAAAGTCAAGTAAGTTCCACACTTATATCCCAGCATCTCTAGTACACTGCCTTCACGAGTAACCAATACTGCTATCATGTTGTGATTTTCATCCATGTCATCTTCATCTCTCTTCCTCACAGTAAATGTTGTATCGAGGCCTCTAGTCCGCCAGTCATCTTCAAGCAGTGGCTCAGGGGGTGCCGACAAGACAGCAATCATTGCAGCAGTGACTCTCACAGTAGTGGTTGCGCTGGTCGGTGCCATAGTCATCATGGTCATCGTCACCAGAGCACGCCGGATGACACCCATCCCCAAGACTACCACAGTTTAACATCTCAACAACCCCTAGCCAAATTATTACCACCCACTCATCCGTATATGATATCTCTCCAGCCAAGGACTTTCCCTGCTTCTGATTTTATCCTCTCCGCCTCAATCTCCTGTATAGTCATGTTCACCCTATATGCATGATGTCACTTATCACTCAAATCTATGTGTGTGTGTGTTGTGATTGTGTTGCTGTGCCGTGTATATATAACTATGAGACTCTTTTTCACATTCAAGCATAAGTTTATAACTACATAAGCGCAGACACGGATGTATTCGGAAGCTTAGGCATGAAAAAACATGTTTATAGCATACTAGCTAAAAGAATAATATGAGAGGAAAAGAAAGAACCCTTAAACCAAATTAATGGACTCATAGAAAAATATAAAAACTCTGAAACTTACAGTACGACGATGCAGCTTAGACTGCACCAATGACTTATAACATCTATGTTCACAGTGTCGTGAAAAGAAACTATGGCTTGTCATTATTACTTCTCCCTAACCTTCAACAGAGTTCAATATCTTCTCTCTTTTACTTCTCTCAATTATGGATCTTCTACTTCACTGTTTGGTTTCCCAAGGCTCAGGTTAAAATTCTATTTTTTTGCCAGCAATGAAAACAAATAAGCTTAAGAGCAGAGGAGTTTCCGGGAATTTAAATGAATTAACAACTCTGACCAAGTTATGGCAATTGCTGTTGTTTTAGGTTAAATACTTGCAATTCCATAAGATGCACCACCCGACCTGCTTTCACATCCCCACCTTGTCCTCAGCATACGTCCTGCGGTCACACATAGCTACTACTTTAAAGCAGGGAAGTATGCAAAGCAAAAGGTGCAGTGAATTTTAGTTCTGTTAGAGACCTGTTTATGTAGGTTACTGCTTTACCACTCCGAGTGAAGCCAATGATACTCATCAGCAGAGCTGATGCACTCTTGTCCATATTATTATTATAGTCTTATGCTGCAATTCTGTCGTTCAACCCTCACCCTATCACATCTTGCTGTTGTTAATTTTTGTTTTGCTACAACATAATGAACAAAGTTGTGTCTCCTGCAACTAGGGACATGAGGATTATACTGGCATTGGTAACCTAGGTATATCACAACTGTTTCAGTTCAACTACTTTATAATAGGCACAGTAAATATGGGGAGGTTTCATAGCAGTATCAAAGGATTATGCTTGGTTGTTACAAGGTAAACTTAAGAGCAGCTTTGTAACTCATTAACTGTAAGCTCGTATTTTGGCCACTGCAAGAGACCTGCAGGACATAACTCTTCGCTTTTTACAGTGGTAACACCAAAACTTCCTTTAAAGTTGTTCTGTGCACATCATGCAGTGAGAGCTTAGGAGCAAATTCACACTGGGGAGACTGGGGATCTAGAGGCCTGCACTGAGCTAGCTACAACTCCCCTAGTGGTCCCTAGGAACCTTACACTGTTGGCCCACCTTATATCATGTTGGAATCTTTGCGTAATTGTATGAGAGGAGTCACAATGGCATTGCACTTATAGCTGCTGCTCTCCATGGTGATGCATGTGCCACTGGTGTGAAGTTGCTAGGCAACGTTTGATCTTTGGTTTTCCCTCTCTTCTCCCATGACCAGAGTTGCTAAAGCCAGCCAAAAGCAATGGCACACTCTACAAGGTGCACCAGTAAGTCAGTTTGATTATTAGAGACCAATGCACCAGAAAAACCATCTGTTTCAGTGTGATGTGTTGTGTGAAGGAACACTTGGCCTAAGTGTTATGTGTTTCTTGATCCTCAAGAGACTGATCCCGGAAAGTAAAGTACACCCAATGGGTCGATAGAGACTAGTCAAAACAAGGCTGTTATAGACTAGTCAAAGATTGGCACCAACCATAAGTTGCCTACCGAGAATCCCAATTGTAAATGAAAAGGACAAATTTCCTGTGCTGTTAGATAATGCTTGCACCTCGGACTAGCCACAGGTGGGGTAAATAGATGCTGAGAGGGATTCTGAACCAGCAACCCCATGATCTATGACTTGTCTAGACTGACCATTGAATTGGTGGAGGAAACCATGGCTAATTGGTTTGGCATGACGCTATGGATAATGAAACTCAATGAGATCATTACGACAGCACACATAGCTACTGTGCGGTTGCCATCACAAAATGAGATGACGATAAGTGCTAGTCAGACACAGCCATTTTTGAATGTGAAATCATTTTACAATGGCACCGAATTTTGGCCCTGCAGCAGTATTAGAATTAACCACTAGACACATAACATTGCATCATAGCCACTAACCGTGTGTTTTTTTTTAATGGCAATGCACATGTCCTAGAGCCAGGATTATGGATAAGCTAATTCGAGGGTTGGTATACCTTTAGGGGCGTCACCCAAAGGTATTATAATATGCACGGTGTTCTTTATAGTAGTATTCAAGGGAAGAGTAAATCCCTTCCTTTAGAGAGTGTTTTTGTTTACCACTACATGGGTGTGATCCATGCTTGCCTCAGAACGTAGCAAGGGTTCTCTCTTGCTACACTCTGACCTAGATGACATTCCACCCGCAGTATATACCTGCAGAATCAGGTCATGAATGGTAGAAGTTCTGCAGGGCTTTTGGCTAAAAAAAGCAATTCCAAGTGTGATGCACTGCACATGTAGCAGGGACTTGGGGTTCAACAAAGTTCCAACTACAGTGGGGAACACTTAAAAATGCTCTCAATCTTATTAAACTTGATTTACTGTTAGTAGAGGAATGCAGTAGCTGTGCCACAAATGTGGTTATCTCAATTGGATTACGAACATTCCTGATATCCAAAATAATACACTGTATATACAGCCACAGAAAAAAGGAGCAGAAATTCCACTGCAGTAAACTGCTTGTGGGGTCTCTGTTTACCCAGACTTCTGCACCAATCACATGTCACATACATATTATACCCAGAGGCTATCAAACCATTGGGTAGCGGGTTAAACATCGGTGGCTGCTCGGCAAGAAAGGTTCAGGAGGTTAGGAATTTATGGACTGGGTCAGGGGGCACTGGAGTCTATGGGACATGCCCGCGTGAGATCCAATCCATGAAAATTACTTGAACCTGCCAACATTGTTATGAAAGCTGAAAACCTACCTCTGCAACTATTTTGTAACCAAACACCTCCCTGAGAGGAAGTCTATGGATATTCCGAAGGTATGCATTGGCTCCAGTGGTTGCATACCTCCATAGCCGTAATCAACACTTCTCCCACAGCCAGCAATGCTTGCGTTCCAAGCCCATCACACCCTCAGAATATCAAATGGAAACCATAGCTCGGTGTGGTGGCATCTTCCCGGTCTCCTGCACAAGATGGTGTGGCGAGGAAAATAACCCTCATTAAAACGGGCCACACTGGCAAATTCTTCTTCCCTCATCCATAGAAATGTGCACACCTCTGGCTAGTGTCAGTGTGTGCAAACACAGAGACCCCAGGCTGCATACTCAGATGAAGACTCCGGGCATTTGGTGGGGAGTCATACCAGTCAAAACAGTCTCCTCCCGCTTCCACTTAACACACACCATTTAACACTGGAGGTAAGTAAATAACCAGGTCATTGCATTTTCAAAGAGATGTATCCATACACTAGACAGACAGACAATATTTGGACATTCTTCTGTCACACAACTACATAATCAAATGTATTGTTTTACGCTTCAATTACAGCAACCAAAGAGGGCCAAGAGAATAGCAGACTGTGTCTAATATGGCCAGACTCAGACCCCAGGAATTTAACTTCACAGCAACCTCCTTCCTCTCACACAGAATACAGATGTATTATAATGGAGATTTATGCTTGGAAACAAGGAGTTATCCTTGGTGTCGTTGAATTATTTGCCTTTGCTTTGCTTTAACCTCATCAATGACACATTATGCATAATTATCTTTTTCAAACAACCAAGCAAAACAATGTTTGTTCCCACCAGATTATATCCCTGGAGACACATTTCCAGGAGTTGTGCTCTCCTGCAAAACCCCATGTTCCTCTGGCAGGGGAAACATACTTACTCTTGCCTCATGGAATTCCACAAATACTGCAGGAAGACCGTTCATTCAGCTTCCATTTTAGACCGGAGGACTGTGTAGTACAAAGCTCCCTGTATACCAAGGAAGGCTGCAAACACTCTCTGCTATAAACTTTGTGGTTCAGTGGTTTACTATAGTAGACCACAACTTTGTAGCACAGTTCTAATCTGTTGTGGCAGCGGCGCGGGAGTAATCACCTTATCACATCAATTCACTGTCTAATGATGTTCATTAATATGAGCAGCCTTGGTGGTATTATTATCAAATGAAAAAACAGAAAGACCTTACAGCAACAGATTTCATTGACAGCACTCCAGCATAGGTACGTATGAATAACCAAGAACATGCAAGTCAGACCAAGGTGAACAGAAAAGGCTCCAGGCAGAGAAAAAATGAAGCGAGCAAACAGCCTGCATGACACACGGAGGGCCACCATTATCTCAAAAAGGTCGACTAGGTTCAGTCTTATCCCAGAGAGACTCAACTCTCTTACGACCAAGTGTGTTTGTTTTCTTGTCAATGGTAGAGGAGAAACAAACCACGGCCAAGCATAACAAACAGTAGACCCAACACACCGATATCACTGACTGCCCACCATACCAACCAAACCCCCTGGCAATCCTTTGATCCACCCACCTACAATAGAACAAACAGGGAAGTGATGACTTGTACTATTCTTACAGCATTTTAATGGAATGCAAACTGCAGTGCATGGTTTTAAGTGAGTAAAGCATACCTCATAGGATAAGGCAGCCACAAAGCTATGGCCTGTGGGCACTTCACAATGACTTGGGCCTTTAAAATTCCACCCACACTTCCTGGCCCCTAGCGGAACTATTTTTACTACTGTATGCAAGGTTTTCCTCTGGGTTAATCACCACATTCCATCATTGTAGGGCTCCTCAGTGAGTAAAACATGTGGGCATTTGAAGTATATACTATGTTTGTGCCCACCAACGACCGTTCATACAAGGCCAGTGATGTTATTATCATGCAAGTCTCGTACAACACTGTCCCAGCTTTAGCATGGAATTAATTCTAGTGCAGCAGCACACAGTTTTCCAGCAATCTACACCACAGCAAGCAACTGGTAAGGATAAGAGGGGAAGGAATAAGAGTGTTCAGAACATGGCGAGAGCATTTGCATTTTTTGTGGGATACTGAGTGCCAAGAGAGAATTAATCCTGGTCTACCCCCTCATACACCACATGAAGTGGATTTCGCAGTGTAGCCATAATGACAGAGAGTGATAGGAGTGAAGACGGTGAAGTCGTCCAAGCCATGAAACCTCTGGTTTATGAGACAAAGGGACTCAGGAATACTCGTGGCGGTACGTCTTGGCTTTCACTCCTGGAGGGTAGGAATTTTGGCATGTTCCTGGTGTGAAAAATAACTGTGTGGCTTTGAAGATGGGCCTCTCAAAGACCGGAGCTGCCATGTCACAGTCACGTAGCGCATGTAAGTAGCCATCTACTGTATTGTGTGTATGTATTCTGACAGACTAAGCAACCATAGGTGCATGGGGAGGACACCTATGCTGCTGTTGACCAAGGAAAGAGACTTGCGTACGTGCCAGATCTGTTTTGGGACAGAGTTCGTTGGAGTGGGTTTTAACATCCAAAGGTGGAAGTTACGGGTTGCAATCATCGTTTCAGAAGAAATGCCAAGTTGGTATGCGGAGGAAATGACTTTGTAGAACAAGTCACACGGTCGGTTCCATGGTAACACCGTTTTACGTGTACTTCTGCCTGCAAACACACCTGGTCAAGGATGAATGGCCAAGTCTAGAGGAACATGGACATAAAAAAAACGCTGATTTTGCTTCAGAAAGTCATCGGTGGAATTTGTGGCATTTTGTGTAAACGTTTTGTGGATGGCTTCACCACCAAACTGCAAATATTTTTTACTATATAGGACTTTCTTAGCCATTGACAGTATGAGGAAATCAAACGGCAAAGGGAAAGAACTTTATGAACTGCCACGAAGACTGTCATTGCATTATAATATTATTATAATTCTACACGATTGACTTTCCTTGGGTCTCGGCTCCGATCTAAGACAGTAGAAAGTGTACTTTCTCACTCCAGGTCAATTAATTTTTCTGGGCCATGCTGAACATTGGTCCAACTTTGACACAACATGGTTCATAATCTTTGCCGATAAGTTTATCATCAGTGCAGAGAATTACACGGGTGTCACCTAACAAAAATGAGAAGTTTCGAGACATTAGGCACATGTGTGACTGAGACTGTTCCTCTTGGAATCAGGGGAAGCGTGTTCATTGCGACTCATTGCCATGTCCGAGTGATGACAATCCGACCATACATTCCTCATAGGTACATATATACATACTTACCACTGCCACAGAGGAAGTCATATTTCCAAGAGTAGGTTGCATTATTGGCTAACAATTAGCTTTGAGTCAGAATGTAATGCAGGAAGTGGGAAGCTTTATATACTGCTACAGCCTGCTGCACTATAAACGCACATTGTCATAAGTGTTGGTTTGAAGATATATCATACTTCCATTAGTATAATAACAGAAAAAAGGACAGACAAGAGTGTGAATATGCATGAGTGATGAAATGGAGCATACAAGATCTATAAGAGACATATGAAGATGAATGTGTGAGGTACACATCTGGTCTTGAATGAGAGAGGAAGGCAGAGTGAGGGGAGACTAGACAGTGATGGTGCTTCTGATAGTGTTCCTTCTGCGGACAAAGCTTGCCAACAGTGCCACACCGACCACCGCCCCAACAAATCCCAGCACAGCAGCAGAGACTGCGACTGCCGTAGGCACTACAGAGTTGTGTCGGTCAGAAGACGAAGAGAAGGAGGAGGAGAGAGAGAGTTTGCTGGATTCAGGAGCATCCGCGGCCGAACGTGCAGATCTCTTCTCTGTAAAAGAAGAGGGAAAACATCATCACATCAGACACATTAACTAAGGTCTGTTATGTGTATTGGGGAGGAGGATTGTTAAGTACAGTAAGTGTTGTTAAGTACACGGACACCTACCAGTTGAGAAGAAATCTCCGACATAGCCAATCTCCAGCCCTGGATGCGGCTTACTCTCCAGTTCCTTCTTGACTGCCGCCACCACGTCTGCCTCTGTGGCATTCATGTCGGTAGACAGCACGTTCATCTTGAGGCATATCCTATAATTACAGATACACACAGAGAGCATGGTAAATTTCCGATCGATATTCAGCTGGGAATACATATTATTACGTGCAAATTAGAGAATAAACGAGGGAGAGGTGTAAAGAACTTACATTCCATCGCAGAAGTCAAAGTCATTGTGCTGGGGAAAGAGGCCAGAGTCTCTGGCAAGCCTTTTGAGCATGCTGTCGGTTACAGTAGCACTCCTGGCGAACTGGAGTAGGTCCATGTGCAGTCGGCCGCCGACCTTAAAGTGGCGCGCATCTTCTATAGTGGTGAAGGAGAGCGCAATGTAAAAGGTGAGAGCACAGTGTAAAAAGTAAGAGGTGTGTGCTGCATTACGTGTAGTGTGTGTTGTGTAGCAAGGAGTTAAGAGAGATTCAGCCAACGTACCGACACACATGGGACAGTCACAGTCGCTCTCTCCCCTGATGACATTCTCGCAGTTCAGAGGGGGACAGTGGTGGGAGATCTCCACCACTCCGGCATTGCAGTATGCTGTCACGTTTGGCGCCGGGCAGTGCGACTCCCCGTCCTGCAGGATCACGCCGTTCTGCAGCTCGCACTCTGAGGTAGGTGCCGGTGCAGTGGCCGCAGGTTCCTCCACAACAGTCTCTGAAGCATCAACACCTACAAAAGACACACAGTAGATCCACATCAATCACTTTCTCCTTGGAAACGATTCAACCAGGACATGGTGAATTTGTATGAGTCTCACCAGGGCAAATTGGGCAGCAGACGTCTGGGTCGTAGACAGGGTCGGTGCACTGGGGGACGTCGCACTGGTGAGAATAGCGTAGAACTTCTCCCTGATCGCAGTAGGCCTTTTCACATGGCCCTGAGTTGACTGGCCTCCACCTCACCCCATCATGGTGCTCCTGACCATCCACGACGCACTTGGTGCTGAGCGGGGCCGGGTCGACGACCGTTATCTGGAGGCAAATCGGGCAGCATTGCCCAGGTAGATAGAGCAATGTTGGTGCAGGCAAGTGGCTGGCAGGACACAGCAGAACAGAGTGCCTCTCCGTCAAGACATTGGCAGGAGGTGCAGGAATCAGGCTCCCATCTCTCCCCTTCGCTGCGATGGACGCCGTCGGCCGTCGTGCACCCAACTGGTAGTGGCGGTGTGTGGACAGTGGGCAGTGGGGGGCAGACCGGGCAGCACTGGCCTTCGGGAGTGTACTGGAGGTTGGGTCTGCACCACACCTCGGGGCATTCCTCTGTGTTGCAGGGATCACGGTCTGTAGCTGCAATGGGGAAGATAAAGTGGTTCAATTAGCATTACTTAGTAGTGTGTGTGCAAAGCCGGCGTTGGTGTAAACGACTCCATGGTATTATACTTACTTTGACAGTAGGCGTCGGCGCCGTATTCCACGCAAGCGAGCCCGGAGTCGCACTGGTCAGGGACGTGTATATTGCAGCGTTGGCCCTCCGAGAGGGAGTGCACGCCGCAGTGCAGCAGCGCCAGCAGCAATAGGCCGCTGGAGAGTAGCAGTGTTGCAGAAGACATTTCCGATTGCTGAGTTAGGTTGAAGGAAGAGTGCTCCTTGTTCTCTAGGTTAGTAGTTCTGCTCAGTTGATGCTGAACTCCGCTCGTCTGCAGCTCCTTTTATACCCATACCGCGCGGCTCCGCGCGCGCCCGCCTCCGCGCACGGACGGAAGTCGACGTAAAAAACCCCAAGCTAAATTCCTGGTATCAGAGTGGCTCGTATGAAATAGACCATGATACAATTTTGGCATACACACACACACACATAGTCAAAACGAAGAGTATCTACATCAAGTTAACAGTCTGGCAATCCCGAGGCCAACTGCAGCTGCAGAAATAATGCAGTAACCTTACACAGAGTTCATGCATGCCCTGTCACAGGTACATAATAAACGCGTGAAAAAGTAAATGCTTTTGGCCATTGTTTGGCTGTGCAAAGGACCCTCACTCACGGAGCTGTTTGAAATACAGCAGAATGTATGATCGCTCAAATCCACTAGTCACATGGTTGGCAATATTACTGTCATTGAATATTTCTACTACAGGGTCCACTACTTAACCCCCTTACAAGCAGAAGAGTAATGAACTTACTTGGGGGAAAATCGCAAGGTAAATACTAATCACTTGATCCGAAAAACCAGTTATCACTATCAACACATTCCTGCTTATTCTCAGGAATGATGATTAAAAGCACACTAAGTCTGAGGACAGACATCAAATAATTGCCTCTCCATTGTGCATGCAGTGTATGTATATAGCCAGCCTCAGTAGCTTACAGGGGGGGAAGCCTGTAAGCTACTGAGGCTGGCTATATACATACACTGCATGCACAATGGAGAGGCAATTATTTGATGTCTGTCCTCAGACTTAGTGTGCTTTTAATCATCATTCCTGCTTATTCTCAGGAATGATGATTAAAAGCACACTAAGTCTGAGGACAGACATCAAATAATTGCCTCTCCATTGTGCATGCAGTGTATGTATATAGCCAGCCTCGGCTTCCCCCTAGAGTAAGGGGGAACCCTGGAATCATTTGCAGTGATCGTAATGAGATATAGATGCTGTTGGCCAAAATGGCACTTACTTCCGCAAGGCTCGGCACTCACTTTCTGGGGGGAGTCCAGAATTAACAGACAAGACTACATGGATTGCATAGTATCACTCAGGTACTGCATTAGTATGCAGGTTGAAAAAGGAAATACATATATAGTGGGGTGGGGGGAGACCTGGGGGGTACAGAGTATGATGGAGGAATTAGTCACAAGAAACACCTCTGAGGGAAAAGAGGAGGAAGATTATCAAACAGGATGTCCAACACTCAAGTTGATAACAAGCTGGCTCTAAGGTGACCTGCCTCAGTCTGCGTAGATACTAAATGTCAATCAAGGAGTTCAATGCATTTCAAAAGACAATGAGGAGAGAAAGGGAGCAACCTAGAGTCGTGCTTCAGCCTGATAATACGATGACCTTTGTCCTTATGTGGCGTGCCACGAAAAGGAAGCATAACCACAAACTCATGTCTGCCTTCCAAATACATCTACCGAAAACAACAGAGTTCAAGCTAGTGATGACCAGGTCTGTCTCCATGATAACTTGTGTGCAAGCAGTTGCATAATCAATACCTCTTGAATTTCTTGCAGTGTTATACTCAAACTGTGACATATTCTTGCGGTGTTGTACTCTATTCAAAAGTGCATTCTGACGTGAGATTGTGCAATTTAGCTTGACGTGCTTCGCTTGCCAACTAAAATATGGGATTGTTCTGTGCAGAGCTAACATTTAACGACATTGCAAGTTCATATTGGAGTCCAGCCATCTTTGATGCCAGCATTTCAATCACTTGAACAATTTCCCTTCTCACAAATTCCTCCTCGCTGATTTTACTTTGATGAGCCCAGTTAAGTCACACACACCACACAGATAGCTACGTCAGTGCACGCGTACATTATATCACTGCCATAGTTGAACTGTTTGCTCATATGATATCAAGTAGAAGATGATTGCAGATGATACAGTAACACTTCCCCTCCAGCCTCACCACTGTTCTCATACCTTTCAGCATCACAGCGGCAGGAAACAAACCTGATTGGCACGGTGTGGAAGTGATTAGTGAGGTACGCCCAGGCTAATGTGTAAATAGAGGCTTCCACCACCCAGAGATATATACACGTGTACCATCCAATACATCACAACACATGGTATGTCCTCATTCAGCTGTATGCCAAACACATTGTTCGCATACTTCTCCACATCATACAATATTTACCCCACCAACTATTAATTATTGAGGAACAGACAGTTAGTGGCAGCATTAAAGCAACGATGTAATCCTTTCCCAGGCAAATGATGCTGACACCATACCAGTCTATATCATCACACTCAAGGTTGAGGATAGCACCGCGTGAGTTGGAGTTGTGTAACCGTAATGTTATACGCACTTCTTATTAACCCTCGGCACGCATGTGCAGCGGGGGTTACAGTACTTGGTTATAGATGCGGTAGAAAATTGGCACTTGCGGCACTCACAAACAATGGTGAATTATTAATTTTTCAGCAAGGTGGCCTGTGGAGTTTGAAGAGTTAGGTCATGCAGGCAAAAGTCTATGGATCAATGTGTATGTGTACAGCCAGGAAGTGTCAAAAACCAGAGGTGCCTGAAGCACTGAAGTCGACTGGGACAAACCTGGGATGGAGGTATGCAGTGTTTTTGTCCAGCAATGCGGCTGGCACATTTTAAGGGCAACCGGCGGAGCTTTCACCTCTTGCTATGGTCTCAGTTGTAGCTTGCGGCAACCAAACACAGCCAACTGAGCTTCCTAGTACACGTGTATATACCTCCATCCACAGCTCGCCACAATGCCACATTAATTAGCATCTGCACTAGCATACGCAAGACCTCTCTCCTTGCACCGACTAGCACGGGCACTCTTATCAAATTATCATTATGTCCAGCAGACGAAAACAGAGACTATACTAAAATGGAAATATCCTTTGCTTCAGGAAGTATGTGCCGGATCACTAGATGACCCAGGAATAGGTGCACGATTCGTAAACCATATATATACGACTGTTTGCATTCTCCAGATGGGTAAGCAATGCCTTTCCTCCCGAGATTTAGACCGAGGCACAATAAGTTGCTCAGAACAGGACCACTGGCTCCCAATATGGTCCCGAATAATTTCCAAACCATGCACCCAGGAATGCAATAACGAGACTACCGTTTCCTATGGAGAAACTCGACTTCCTGTAGACAACAGATGCCAAGCCATGTTTATTTGCATGCTCCCTGACAGGCCTTATACAGTGCTCAACAACCTCTCCACGCGTGGCTTTGTGACAGGATTAGCATACCGTGTGCCATGTCTGACGAGAATAGTATCTGGCTTTGTTACAAGAATAGTACACCGCAGCAGTGTTGCCATAAAAGGATCCATGAGCAGTGCATGGGAAAACAGCAATACAGATTACATCATCGTAAATACACGGAGGTGATCCTCGTGCATGACCTACGTGGCAAACTCACCGATGCACCTGTGCATCTGAGCGCGTTGAGAGTGGTTACTGGGCTAGTGGGGGGTATGAGGTAATGCCTAACATTTCCAGTGGCAAACTTTGACAGTTGGAAAGCGGACGGATGGAAAGCATTCCAGAGCTATCCTCTGTCTCAGGTAACGGTCATTGTCATGATCCAGGAGCCAAGTCTCATTACCTGCCTGAAATAATATATACCAATGGTCATTCTGCCGATAAGAAGAACTGAAAATATTTCGTGCTCCTGCAGATAATATGGACTGTTGGCCCTGCCCACGTTCTGGGTGCATGCGATTTGAGTATAATTATATGCTAGTTGATTCGTTTGCCATTGCTTTGCATACATGTTCTTAGAGGTGGTATCGATGTTAAAATAAAAAATTCACAAAGATATTGCAGCTCTTACCGACTCCAATGACGGAGAGCCAAACTCTGTTTTTGCCACCAGGTGGAAGCCTGGAGCGTTCGTAGAGTGCATAGGCTGCACCGGCAAAACAGCCCCCTGCCCCCACTAGCTTGCACGAAGTGCAGTCAGGTATGTTGGGATTCTCCATGTGTATGTACCAAAACTGCAGTCAGTGTTGGCCCTACCGTTGGCACAGGGTTCAGGTCAGGGCACACAAATTGCTGCCTGACCTTAGCTTAGCGCGTAACGTTCCAATTAGCGCGCCAACAGAAAATGGGCGAAGAAGAACGAGAACCTCTACTATCCCCACGTGCAGCAAATGTCCTCACTTCCCCGGCCTCTGAGATGGACGATGGAGCGACAGCAGACAAGAAGACCAGTAGTCAATGCCTGAGACGCAGAGAGAAACAACACGGGTATGGCGTTGGTGGAGCGCGCGTATGAGGTTAAAGTTCACCACGTGGAGAACGACTACAAATTGTAAAGGAGAGACGTGGACACCCCTTGCCTGCTTGTATATACCACATCATCCTGACCTTCACATAGCCTCTAGGGTTATGACCTCTATAAAAAAACAAAACAACAAGAAGTAATTCTTCACAAGTTGCCAAGGCTGACTCACAAAGTGCTCGGTACGGTTGATCTAGCTTAGTTGGAAGCTTGACAAACGGGTGTGGGGTGCAACAGAATCCAAGCCTTGGAAACCTACATGCATACTATTTCCAAGTTCAAGTAATCAACCTGGTTTTTTTACACACACAATGGTGCCTTTCCCTTTGTAGGTCTTTATACCTAGTAAACAGAGGCCTCTTCGTGTCGCATAGCCCATTAGTGAATCATTTCCGGTCCTCGCCATACAGGATGCTAATACTGGTCTCCACGGCTGTATTCCCACAATGTTTTTCGATGTTGGTATAACACTTTCATCCTTTAGACCGATCATTCTTTGCTGTGGCTTTTATATGTCTGTCATTTTTCCTTTGTGGGTTCCTTTGAACTTCCAGTACACGAGGGCTAGGTTTAATTAACGAGGGGAAGACATGCCATTAATATATTTACCATTTCACTAAAGATTACAATAGCCCACTCCCTCCATAATATGATCTAAAAACATTTTTGTTTGTTTTGCACTTGCCTTACTGGTATATAACCTGCCTTGGTTTCAGTAGTTCGGGACATAAGTGATGTCACTGAATATTTTTAAAGAATTGCGCAACTTGGAGCCTTTTCTAACACGACAAGGGGGAGCCCTCAACTAGTTATAGTGATATTCCTCAACTTTTTTTCCCAACGCAGGTTCAATGTACTGTTTGTGAAGAGATTTCTTCGCCTGGTGCGTGCAGTGTTCCCTCGTGTCTGCTGCAAATCACTGCTCCTCCTGGCCATCCTCATGCTGACTCAGAGCGCTGGTAATTTCAGAGCTGCTAAATGTGCATTATTGGTTAGAGAAGCGAGCAATCCTAGTTAATTGACCAATTTTTCCATGATATTATTATGGTGCTAAGTTTGCAATAAATATTCCCTTAATTTGCCAAAAATGGCTGTACAGAAAAGGACTTTCTGACATCTTGGCGGATTTCTCAACAAAATTAGTATTACAGAGCATGATGCATAATGTGTTGGTTTTTTTGCATGTTAGCTTACTCTGTGTGTAAGTATTAAAACTGGGCGAGTTCAAGTCAGATTCCTTAGTGTCATTAATTTTTCTAATTGAAAAGGGGACCACCGATGCAACACTTTAAAGTAATTTCTTCCTTGTTTGGCATTGCATTTTGCTGTGTGTGGTACTCTGTCTGACGCTCGACCAGAGAATTTCATTGAAACCGGCTCGCTCCGACATGCTCCGATCATGTCAGTGTGTGCGTACAAATATTGGCTAGTGAACTTGTCGCATCCTGAGCGGATTTTCTTTGCGAGATTTTTCAAAGGTATCTGTGGAGTAGCTTTTTTACTGTTTTCTGTAACTGAGCAACTTACATTACACGTTGCCAGTGACCTCCGGTGGCCTCTCAACTATTCAAACTGTCGGTAAACACAGCCCAACTGACACCGCCGGTATCCGAGTTCCCAGTGCGTGTTTTTGAGCATGCTGAAATTGAATGTTGCTCAATTTATCCGGAGTATTAGGAAATGTGCTTCCTCCTTCAAACCTTGTCCTCCGCGATTGAGCACACGGCTTCTTGAGTGATGACTCGGCATTATTTGCTGGTGATTGGAAGGAATCTTTCGCGAAGTGTCCTGTCATTTGAATGTCAGAGCCGGAAAATAGAGATCAAACCAGTTCTTCTTTGCGATCGGCTGATGGCCGAAGCTCTGCCAGTTAGCCGACAAGCTGTCATTGGATATATTTCAGGTGGCGCTCCGTGGAAGTCTAGGGGCGCTGCCAACATGGTTTACAAGTGGTATGTACACCGGAAGATGCTTCACAATTAGCAAAGGTCCGCTACCCACCACATGAGGTACGATAAATTACTATACGGTGGCCTAAATTCGACTGAAGTACTTGTACAAAGAGGCTAAGCAGAGGTATATATAACTTTCACTAAGAGGGCGTGATTGTGGCTTCGTTCATGTGAAGAGGTGTTGGACTTCTTGACAAATCGATAGTAGGTAAGGGAAGGTTTTGTTAGTGGCCGAAGCATGTTTAACTCAGCTGCTTTCAGTTCTTTTTCCTTCATAGACATTGGACGTCTATTTATACTATCATTCTATACACGTACCATCCATTTCCTGTGATACTGTAGTGTGGGTGGCTCCAAGGTGCTCAACAAAGAGAGACATGCTTAGCATACAGAGGATAATTTGGGGCACTTTAGAATAGAAGGATTGTTGCCTAAATGATTTAAAGTGCATGTGTAATAATTGTTTTAGAGCTCAGGAAGTGAGTGTGATGTACTGAATGTGTCGTCTGTGAGCGCATTATTTTTCTGTTTGTAGTGGATTTTTTGTTTCCATAGTTATCGTACTCACAGTTCCAAGAATGAAAAAGAATGAACATTTGCTCACAGTATTACACACACACTAGGTGGTGAGATGATATGTCAGCGGAAGTGTATACTGTAGTGAATACTCTAATGTTACGAGAGAGAGAAATAGTGTGGTGAGTGACATTAGGCCATCTTCCAGGTAGTGGGAGGTGATCTTAGCCCGCTCTCAGTGCTGGCAGGGGATGTGTGTCATATCGAGTCACTAGTGAATAGTGGATACCTTATAACAGCTCAGATTCACTCCTGTACTATATACTAGCTAGAGAGTATGATCAACTTGTGCGTGTCTTAGTGTGTGTGGATGTTGGGGATGGTGTCGGTACATAATTGTATGCTCATTTCCTTGGTGACCCGTGGGTGTGAAGTAGTGTGTGACGCCATCTGAATCAGGTTTCTTCACACCTCTGGCACTACAGCTCCCCTGGGTGTTGGGTGGATTAGAGAGCCCTGCACAGTTGGGTGGGGATAGTTCCACATTGCCATTCCCCCCATCCTGTATGTACATATACACAGTGGGGATGGTTGGGTATTTCATCTTGGTATCCCACTTCCTTTGATAATGTGTGAATCAGTGTGCTTGTAATAGTGTCATATGTACCACGATGGATAAGAATAGTTGGGTATTTCGCCTTGGCTTAAGGTGTGACTCTTAATGGCCATGAAGGTACCACTGATTATCACAGATCAGAGATATAATCCACCTTGGCATTCCCCAACATTGCTACACAAAAGAAAGCAAGCTAAATAGTAGTGTATCTGATATTACTGCTGCGATCATTACAAAGAGACTGTCTCTTTTCTCTCCAATTCTTGTCTGTCTCATTCTCTCGCCACCGCAGTGGAGTACAACATATACCTCGCGGGACTCATCCCCAGTCAGTTTATCTATGTCCTGGACACTCGGGACATGTCTGGGTTCAAGAGGGCTCTGTGGATGTCAACTGTCACTGTCATCTCTGTCAGCATTGTGAGTCCACACCTCATTTATTAATTGGTGAGCGAAGTGAGCCCACCTAGTGTTCTTAATGCGGAATTTTTTCTGTATTCCGGGCACTGCCACATACCGTAATGTCGTATGTGATTCGTGAAATGCGCAAAAAATCAAATTGTGCTTGTTTTGCTCGCCAAAAACGTTTTTGCATTCCTCTAGTTTATGCCATACTGTATAGAGGGAAACCTTTGAGACAACTTGCATGATTCAGTGGCAAATGAGAAGATTCAGAGACCGCTACGCCACATTACGTAATGTATTGGCCAACAACACACTTCATGGATGGCCCCCAAACCAGGAATGCTGTCTCACCCTTCGAAGTTTCTTGCCATAGTATTATAGTGCATACCTCATAAGTGTTATGCTGACGCCTGACACCATTGCTTGGGCCATACATTTATGCTTACATTCACCACGTTGCCTGAGCAACAGGGAACTCGGCTTCAAATTCCGCCAGCCAAAACTCACCTTCTGTGCTCCTCCTATGTCCATGATCCTCTTAGAGTCTGTGAGCAACAACTAGCATAGGGGTTCCTTGCTTTAGATGGTCGCATCAACAGAGAAACCCTGAATTCCTGGCTACGTACAACTCACCTCCTTGTGTTCCTCCCAATTTCTAACACCTGCACTGCACGAGGAATGCCACTACATGTACTTATGTGTCATGCTGCAAGTGATGATATCAGCAGGGAAACCCCAGATCTCCTAGCTACTGCTATCCCCTTGTATTCCTCCCAATTTCTAACACCTGCACTGCACGAGGAATGCCACTACGTGTACTTAAGTGTCATGCTGCAAGTGATGATATCAGCAGGGAAACCCCAGATCTCCTAGCTACTGCTCACCCCTTGTGTTCCTCCCAATTTCTAACACCTGCACTGCACGAGGAATGCCACTACGTGTACTTAAGTGTCATGCTGCAAGTGATGATATCAGCAGGGAAACCCCAGATCTCCTAGCTACTGCTCACCCCCTGTGTTCCTATACATCTCCCACATCTTCCCCATTACTTGCGTGAGGCTACGTACTATCGTGCTGCAGGCGGTTAGCTCACCCCCCTGCATTCCTCCTAATCTTCATTCCACCTATGATCTTCAAACCCGTGAGGCCACTAGCGAAGGGTTTGAGAAAACCCTGAGTCTCCTAGCTACACCTCCCCCTTAACCACCTGTGCTGCTTATCGTTGAGACATGTCACTAGCTAAGCTTCAGATCAGAAATCAGAAAGGAAACCCGGAGTCTCCTGGTTACACGCTACGTGTGGCACACTACATATACATACCCAGGACTGGACCGCAGCCAGCCGAGTCAGCCAACTGGAATTATTGCTGGGTTGGTTCTCATTGTCGGATGCATTCAGAGAATGAGAACTCAACAAGGGCTAGTGTAGGATACTGTCAATGGCACGCATTGTACTTGGTATGATTTATAGGTCACTCAGCAGTATTTTTGTGTATGATTTGCAGCCACATAATGCAAAGGTTTTGGTTGCACGCTGGTTTTGTAGTGGACTGGGGAAAGCTTTGGCTGTGATCTGCAGTCAGCTTCCTACATGCAGTTTAAAACATATCGGTGTTGTACTCATTTCGAATCGCGGCACATCATTTTAGCACAATTAAAGGTATGTGTGTCCGTGGAGATTGTCAACAGAAGTTGAGTCACGGTTAACAGGTTTTCAACTCGATTCTAGGCATGACATTTCCTCCCCCGCCACATATTGATGCTCCATACTAGAACGAGTAATGATCCCTGTTCTGTTATTGGACTAAAGCCTGGATGTAGGTAAACTTGCCACTTTGATGTGGGTTATAACTATTGCAATGTTCCACAGCAACTCCACAAACTAGTGTTGCTAAGGATATGGTCACAAGTAGGTACATAGTTTGATGGAACCTAAGAAGGTGGAGGTGTGTATCATGCCGTAGTAGATGGGTGGAAGTGTAGCTTGGGAGTGCTGGGTACGGCTGCAAGAATGATGGTCTAGCCCTGGTGCCTTATTCCAGGTACTGCATTTTCCTGGCGAGGTGCTGTGCATTGCAGAGGGATGTGTGTGCAGCAGTGTGCCGGTCGGAATTTCAACTCAACACGCTCTGCCAAGTGGTAACGTTCCATACCACCTCTGTTTTTGGCTAATAGGTCTTGTATTGTGATCATAGTAGTACGTAGGGCATCAGTACTGCATGGACGTTGGTAGAGAGCTTGAGAAACGTGCGCTCTAATGAATATTGGACAGGAGAGTGATGTGTTATTTGACAGGACGTTTTCCTAGTAAATACTGTGCGTGGAGGTTTGGCACAATCTCTATATACTCAGTGGGAGTGAATTTGCTTGTGTGAGCCTAGTAGTAGCCAGTACTTTATTTCACCAATGGGTATGATGGTGAACCACCTGTGTGTGAGATTTCATGGAGATGAGCAATATCCTACAGTGATGAAAGATGAGGGGAGAAAGTGTCACTTAGATGACAGGTGGGCCTTTCCCCCACCGCATCCAGATACGTATGTCTGGATTTGTAAACATTTACTGGAAAGTCGATAATTGCGGAAGAAAGATGGTCTTGAGAAGAGCATTCTACGATAAATAGTACGAAGAAACACTCACGGGCAGGCAGGGAAATTTAGTCCAAAACCACAACTCGCACAATTTGGTCATGTGCAGGACACCTTACAATGACTTCTGAGAAACTAGTGCAACAAAAGATGGAGAAACAGCACGCCCTGCTGATGCTTCTTCACGAATATCGTGCAGACCTTTCAGTATAAAACAGTACAGTATGTCTCAACAACTTGGTAGCGAGGTAGAAAGGTACAGTATACAAGGGATTAGTACACTAAATGCTGAGAATAGTTCCCATAGTAGTTGATGTTGGTGACATAACCTACTACTCAGTCAAGGGGAATAGACATCAAGTGCTTCGTGGCCAGTTCAATGTGTCACTTGTGGAAGAGTGAGCCAGGTTTGTATTCAAGCAGCCAGTAATGCACACATTACATACATAAGTATGTAGGCCTATATGTGTGAAACCACAGTTTAGCTGTACATGGTATAATTATTGTACATGGTATAATTATACATACTTATTTTCTTTTGAGAATATCACCAAAGTTAATTCCCCCCTCCCCCTAACTATCACCATCCTCTATCTTCGTCTTGTTGCAGTGTAAGAGTGCGGGACTACTGGTGTCGGGGCTGCTGTATGTGCGAGGACGAGGGTTGATCGTCCGTCGTCTCCATCAGCTCTATTTCAGAGGAATCAACTACTACCACATCAACGTCACCGACCACTCCATTGACAACCCGTACGTCTCAGTAGTTACAACCCTTTGCTGCACAGTGACGCATATAATTATGTGGTTTGTGTTTGTGTCTGCCACTGCATGCAACAATCCGGGGCAATAAGCGATAACAAGAACTATAGCCTTACACTGGAAAGATGGTTATTAATCCTCGGCGCGCATGCGCAGCGAGGGTTACAGTAGTTGGGTATGTCCATGTGTGTGTCTGTTACTCTACATCTCACCTCTCGAATGTCTGTTCGTCCCAGAAACGATACCATCTACCCAACGGGCGACGAAGGTCAGAAAATATGTGGGGTTTTCTCTGAAAATGCTCCGTTGCAGAGCTAGAGCGCTTCCAGCATTGTATGGCTAATGCCGGTAGTCGCCATTTTATCGCTGGCGGATAATGCGCATGCGCTTATATTTAGCACTCGACGGGGTCCGCTTGCTCTGTCTATCTTGAAAGCACAAGAAGTCACAACGAATGGCGTGTATCGACTCTCGCGTGCTATCTACTACTGTAGCTAGCCCGTGTCAGACTCTCTGCGAGCTACTTCGCCGAAGGTTTGCACTTTAGTGCTTTTCATTTGCATAGTTTTGCTGTGAAAATGGCAGAGTATACGGCTTAATCACGCTATACAGTTAAACTGTGCTTTCATACATGTTAATACATGTACGTATAAAAAAACACTGGAAGGACTCTGTCATATCCTGTTTGGGAGCGAGAAACCTAATTAGCAGAACGCTAATCTGTGTTGCGCACACTTGACTGTCATCATGATTGTCTGTAGCTGGCTGAATATTGCTCAGGGCAAGGATAGTGGTGGAGTGTTTAGTGTTTATTGTGAAATATCATCTCAGGATGTTGGGAAATTGACAAGAATGATGGTCTAATGAAAAGTATATGGGATTTCCAAGACCTGGTCTCGCCCACTCATTCCAGTGTATGATATGTGCTATTGAGGATGTGGGCTACCTCCAGGCTTTTCCTGTGTCAATGACGTTGAATGACGTGTCACACTACTCCTGATTTGGGTAGTTGTGTAAACTGTTGAAAGTAATTATGAATTTATTGTGCAAACCGCCACTTGATAGCTAGACCACTGGCTAGTAGAGGCATCTCTTTGCTCTTCCCAAACACAACAGCTGAACCAGTTCCTCGAACACTCTACAGGAAATGCTATACCTATAATAACTCTATAACGTATAATATTGTAGTCCCGGACTTCTTCTTTGAAGCCAACCTTTAGAAAATGGCTACTGGACAATGCACATAGGGGAGATCTTCAGTCACATGTATACTATATATATATATACACTTGCTTGCGAAGAGAGCGTGTTTTATGTATGTGAAAACTATGAGGTAGAAAGGCAAAGGCACAACAAACAAATCAACTACACCCAGGACAGCTACAGTGGAACCGTCTGATTGTCTAGCGTGAAGCTTCAAAACAAAATTTTGTGTTTATAACTGCACTCATCAGAGATCAGCGAATGACACAAGACGTGGACAAATTCTGTGACCAGATGACTCAAGTTCTCCCCAACGTTATCCTCTCCCCTGCAATTATTGCCTACTACACCTACAAGACCTTTCAAAGGTGCTGATAGCTAATAAATGCATAGACGTATTAAACCATCACATAACTTTACGTATGGCATTTGGCGTATTAGTGGAGCATTGTTATGTCAAATGAATGTCTGGTACACGTTGAACACTTTAGTCCACTCCATGACTCTCCCCCACTCTCTCTCTCATCCACAGTATGGGCTACCTGGGTCCACTCTGTATATACGCCTACTTTGTAGCGTCGTCTGTCGTCAACAAACTCCTCGTGAGCTCCATTGCACCCATGGTGGTGAGGCAGGAGAAGCTGGAAGGAGATTTCAGGTGCTGTTTCTGCCATTTATGTGAGGCGTTGAGTGTGCACAGAGCCCGCCAACTACAGTGCATGCATTATATTGTGTTGGAGCTACCTTGAGGGCTGAAGAGTACCCAGGTTGCTTTTATATATATGCCTTGTTGTGGGTGTCTGTTACCTTAGATGCACAGTAGGCGTATACATAATATTATGCTCTCAGTATCTTCTGTTTATAGTGTCAAATATCAGGCTTTTTCTTATGTGATGACGGGATAATATCTGGGATTTCGACCTGCTTCTATGTCGCACCTGTGTGGGGTTATGCAAACTACGCAGTAGTTTACGCTATCATATAGTACTACATAGAATCTGATGTTCTATGGAGTTAGAACAGTTATGATTAATAAACTACAGGTATCACCACACACAAGTAAGGAGCAATGCAGAAAGTATTGCGTTCTACCGGTGAGTGCAAATTGTGTGACCTCCCCGAGTTATTATCATTACACTGTCTACACATGCCTGCCAGTGGAGGGAAAATTGAGGCAGAGAAATCAAACGGCTTATTGAAAGTGGGTATTTATATATTACGGTAGAATGGTAGTATCAGTTTTGTGTTTCAATGGTTTTCAGGCTCTGTTGCAGACTCAGTTGAGTGTTGTGCACTGGCAGTTTCCACTAAATTGTAAGACCATAATAATATTATTATGAATGAGTCAGAAAGTGTGGCACAAGATTGGAAAAAGAGACAAAACCAACTATCCTTAGTAAGGTGACGAACGAGAGCTGTTCCCAGCCAATGCTATGGTCTGGACCACCTGTCAGTTTCAGTGCTGGGTCTGGGGTCGAACCCCTGCAGTCCGGCAGCTTATGCAGACAGTGTCTACCACTTCAGCCACTCCATACTCCAAAACTGTAGTCAAAGTATTGAGGATAGTTGGTTTGTCCCTATTTCCACTCTAGTGCCTACAAAAAAATGCAAAATCATTGCCACCCTTCATTAGGGGGGACAGCAAAGTTTGGGCGAGATAGGGATAGGTGCAGCGAGATAGATGATGTTACCATTCCACACGCCAACTGTAGTCAAAGTATTTAGTATAGTTGGTTTGTCTATTTTTCCCTCTCATGTGCCTACAAAAAATGCAATATCGTTGTCACCCTTATTAAGGGGGATGTGAAATTTGGGCGAGATACGGATAGGTGCAGCGAGATAGAAAATGTTACTATTCCATACTCCAGCTGTAGTCAAAGTATTAAGGATAGTTGGTTTGTCCCTATTTCCACTCTTGTGCCTACAAAAAATGCAAATTATTGGCACCCTTCATTAGGGAGGACAGCAAAATTTGGGCGAGATATGGATAGGTGCAGCGAGATAGATGATGTTACCATTCCACACTCCAACTGTAGTCAAAGTATTTAGTATAGTTGGTTTGTCTATTTATTCCTCTCATGTGCCTACAAAAAATGCAATATCGTTGTCACCCTTATTAAGGGGGATGTGAAATTTGGGCGAGATACGGATAGGCGCAGCGAGATAGAAAATGTTACTATTCCATACTCCAGCTGTAGTCAAAGTATTTAGTATAGTTGGTTTGTCTATTTTTCCTCTCATGTGCCTACAAAATCATTGACACCCTTATTAAGGTGGGACACGAAGTTTGGGCGAGATATGGATAGGTGCAGTGAAAAATAAAGTCAATTCCATACTCCAGCTATTGTCCCCCGTAATAAGATAATCTACCAGCAATAAGTTGTATGCACTGCCTCTGGCAATTATTAGTGGGTTAAAGGGGTATATACATAGAGCACAGGTGACCTGACGCTCCTGGGTATGTTCCAGTCTCTACAGGGATATTTGACTACACAGCAGCCATCATCAGCTACTGTCTGGTGGGCATATCAATCTTCACTGAAGACTATGACAATCTGAGTGTATCCGAGCTGAGTGCTGCCATTAGCAAGGTCAGCACCTCGTGGAATGGTTGCTAAAAAACTACCCGACTAATATATGCCTTGCTCTTATTCCGTCTTCATGTCATTTTCCAACTGTAATAGACTCTTGATTTTTACTGGTGTGTCTGTGGCCACCTACTAGGATGTATGTGGTACCACTGCATGTGTATGATGTGTGTGGATAGAGCCTATATGCAGCGCTATAATAACTGTGTGTTTCTTTTGCAGAATGCGTTCTTCTCCATGTACCTCCTCAACAACTTCTCCACCGTGGTAGACACTGCTGTCAAATTCAGTGAAATTGTTGGATACACCCACAGGTATATACCACACTTTCTATCTGTCTATTGTTTGTTGATGCAAGAAGATGCTTATAAAGTGTTGTGTAATAAGCCCGGAAAAGTTCCCCAAGGCTCTGCTTGTATTTGACTAAATTGTGTTCTTGCTGGTATTGTCTTGAATCATCAGGGCCGTATGTTTAATCGTTCACGATGTATTCACATACATGTTTTCCAATAAGACATTACTTGACTATGTGAGCAAGCTACATACGTGCACCATTATGGTTTCACATCCTTGCAAACTGATATATACGTAAGAGGTGGCCTGAACATAATGGGTAGTGTGTCATGTTCATTCCAGAATCGGTGAGCTCATGGAATATCTCGACAAAGTCCGTCTTGCTGGCGATGGGAAGAGCTGTCGTCTGGACACAAGATCCTCCAACGATGCAATCAACCCCGATCCGTCCATCAACTCTCAGGAGTCAGTTCCAGCAAGCAGCGACCTAGGGTAGTTGTAGTTGATTTGTGTGTAGTGTCTGTCTGTCTGTCTGGTCCCACTCTAGTGGCAACACGGCTCATTTTGATGCAGGCTTCTTTAAACTTTCTCAGTTTTGACACGTGGATTTTCGTTGACAGTTATGGCATATTATAATAATATTATAATAAGTATCGAACAGTTTTTTGTCCACAGCTTAAAAGTATCAGCGATTGACAAATATTTAGTTTGACATGGAATAAGAGCTGTAGAGTGTGTTCATTGCAGCAGGAAGGATGTTATCTATCTCTGACGTACACCCCTGGTAGCAGCACAATATTGACCTAGTATCTTGCGGGGTTACTGCTGTTGTTGACCCCATGCATTGTTGTAGGCGTTTCATGTTGTATATTATAACTTCCAGAGAAAAATACTCGACAGCAGTCAGCAGTGTTATTATGTTCTGTCTGTCTATGTATAGGAGGAATCAAGTGCTATCTCCAAACACAGTCGCTCCAGACAATGATGTGGGACTGGAGCTGAAGAATCTCTCCATTGCTCCACCTCATCAATCAACTCCACTAATTGAGGGTCAGGGGTAGCTTGGTGTATATAGCCATTGATTAAATTGATGATTAGCTGATTGATTGTATTTCATTATACACGTAGGGCTGAACATGAAGCTATTCAGAGGGAAAAACATTCTTGTTCTTGGAGATTCAGGTTTGTAACTGGATGAGAAGAAAAAGAGTTGTCCTGGGTGTCGTTTTGTTGCTTGGTTTTTGTTTGCTTCGAGACCTGGCACATACCCACTGTCTATACCTGTAGGTTGTGGGAAGAGTTCGATACTCAGAGTACTGAGAGGGCTGTGGATGCCACTGAGAGGGTGTGCCAGCATCACCTGTGAGGACAGCCCGCGCTCCATACTGTTCCTCCCACAGAAGTGCCCTACCTCACCACCGGCTCTCTCCGTGATCAGGTGTGTACGTATACGCGAGGCTGTTTAACGACAAAGATAGACGGATCCTTAATTGAGCGAATTTATGAACGTAGTTAATCAAACAGACCTTATACATGTTCTGTAAAATGCAAGTGTATGACTATTTTGGTACCCAGATCCCCACATGCCCCCAAATGTTTTATTTTCTTGCTTGTACTGAGTCAGCAAAGGAAAGTTAGATTTGCAGTCTCTGTGTGTGCATGAAGGTCCACTCTAGACACTACATCTGGCAATACCATGCCAGTGGTTACTGGAGTGAGACTAGGTTATCAGATGAATAGGTTACTGTGCAGTTCCCTCTACCCTGTTGACCTTTCCCACTGTCTCACTGCCTTGTTCGTTCCCACCTTCTCAGTTCGGTTACGATTTATCAGTTCCAGAGTCAGGGGGTGGCTTCTTCACTCCTAGCAACGCAATTGCACACACATGCGCGATTGCATGCCCAACTTCTTTTAATGTGCATATTTTCCATTCCTATGTAAATGGATTATCTTGTGGTTAGTAGCTATGCTACAGTTGCTGCTGTTTTTTCTCAAGGTCACGTTTCCAGAGAAGCCTAAACGGTTGAGTGACAGTAGCTGGACTTCATACCAGAGTAAGGGACTCGGTGTTTGTGTGATGAGAAGTGTTTTACTTTTCATCTGCAGGTAATGCCTGTGCATGCGACAGCAGGATCTTTGAAGCATTGTCACTTTCTGGACTCGTGAGTGTATTATTATTAGCAAGCAAATAAGGCCCACCTAATATGGGTCTGGGAATAAGGTAGCTATGGCTACCCCTATATATTAGCATGGAAATGCCATGGCAACTCATGCAAACAAAAGCTTCTTGTAAAAACAATTGAGTGTTGAGAGAATTATGCCGCTACAGTTATATGACACGTAGAACTACACCCATGCAGGTTTATCTGATTGAGAGGCTTGGAGGAATAGATGGCAGCACAATCACTAACTGGTCAGTATAGCTCAGGTACAATAATAATAGTCTCTGAAATTCCGGGTCCTTCTGGCACGTCTTCAGGTATGACGCAGTGTCTCCTGGTGAGATGCAGAAGATAGGGTTTGCACGGCTCTTCTATCACCAGCCACAATATGCCGGTATTCGGTAGAGTAATTACTGTGTATATACCTGCTACTTCTTCCACTCCTCCTCCTCCTCCTCCTGTCTCTTGTATCTCTTGTTGCTCCTGTGTCTGCAGTGTTGGATGAAGCCACATCTTCTCTTAGCGAAGAGGATGAAATGTCACTCTATTCAACTTCGAAACAGCTCAACATCACCATCCTGAGTATTGGACACCGCTCCACATTGCAAAGAGTAGGTGATCTATACTTCTGTGGTCAATAGTGGAGCACTCTAAGCATTGTAGAGTCGCTTGTCCTTGTTAGATGATTGTATGATATATAAACATGCATAATGATATGTTTTTGCAGTGAAGTATAATAATTGAGACTGAATTTTGTATGCCTCCCAACAGTGTCATGTACAGAAACTTCATATATACTCAAGACACAACTGGACTTTACAAGAGATTCATAAACACTAATAAGAAGACATGTTATTAATTTTTTGGGTCTTATTATTGGGCCTGCTTGGGCATTGACACACAATATAGCGGTGAACTTTATGTGAATGAGCTGTCCGTGTCCAAGCAGCATCGTGCGTCAGACGTTATGCACATGCGCACTGCGCAGTTGCCCGTGTGTACGTGTCGTCGTCGCGCCGGAGCTCACCCGCCCTGCACACCACTAGGTTATCACCCGGCGGTGCATACCCATAATCCGGCGAAAAATCGCGACGTAGTTTCGGGTTAGAAGGATGGGTAAACGAACCCGAAGCCACCGACTGAACCCTGGATGCGAGCGCCGTATGAACTGGTAAAACGTCTTTCGCCGTAACCCGACGCGCAAGTTTTTCGCGTCTGATCCAGCGTACGTATATGTATGTTCGGCACTCGGATTGAAGCGCATGCGCACTAAAGGCGTAAGATAGTGCGCATGCGCTCCGCCTTACGAAGGTCGCGCGGAACTAATTACTACTTCGGAGGGGCACCGGATATTCCATCCCCGGTGTTTACACAGGACACACGTCAAATACTAGCTGCTGTGTATATACACACGACAGTCAGTGGCTGCAGCCACGCGGGTGGAGTTTCGCAAGCTAGACTCTCGCGGCACGCGAGACTAAATGAAGGGGGGCTCTATCTACTCGAAGATATACGAGAATATCCTCTAAGACTATGTCATGGCAATCGCACTGCCAGTAGACGTAAAGATCATTTCGAGGGATGGTCTGCTGGCGTTGTGAGCAGTGTCGCAGGCGACGCTTTCAATTTGTATTAACGATTATAACCAATAAATAAACGGTGGTTTTATGATCCTCTAACCAACTATAAAATATCTAAGAGATTTCTTTTAAGTGACCTTGATACACAAACAAAACGAACACACTGCGTAGATTTGCTTGGATGTCTCTGCAAGTAGGCGCTCAGAGCCACTTCCTGGAAGTTGCCTCCCCCAAACAGCAGCAAACAGTCGCTCTCGACAGCTATAGCTCTCTGGAGGGCAGCAACGTACGCTGGACTTCTCCGCCGACTGGAATTCGCGGAGTGAACGAAAGTGTTCTCCCAGTCAGTAAATGATTGGTTCGCCAGTCTCTCCACTGATGCTCTGGCCATGTCAAACACGTGTTGAGCTTCAGTTTTCGAGTAGTTTAGCTCCAAGAGGATCCTGTTCCACGAACTACTTGAGAACCTACCAACATCTGTCATGACAAATGGTCCTGTTTCGGCACCCAACCTGTTCACAGTTTCAAACAGAGTCATAAAGCATTTGTCAAAGTAGGCCTTTCGTGTTGTCCTGTTTTGTCTGGCTATGACCGCATGCCCTCCCTCCACACTTTGTTCTATGACTCGTTCCACCCTCATCATCACTGACAGCATGTTCCCCGCTCTTCCGCCCAGAAAGCTCTCTCGATAGGCCCTGGACTCTTTCAGAAGCTGGTTACTGGGCACTAGTAGGTCAGTCGTGACTGATCTCCTGAATATCCTGTAGCACTCTGAAAAGTGCTGTGCCGAGTTTGCTTGCATCCAGTGGTTAAAAATAACAGTCACATCCTCTGGTTTCCATGGGCCAAACAGAGTTTCCCTCACACTTGGATCACCTAAAGTGTGTTCAGGTCCATGCAGATTAATAATCTTCACAATGCAGAATCCATTCTTTAGGAAGAAGTCCATCCCATCGGGAATTGGCTGTACCGAGCAACAGTTTCGTGATGAGTTATCACGACACTCTACCGAGTAGTTAGTCTGGGGAAAGTGAGGAGATGCCAGATTAACAAACACCACTCGCCGAGGTGAGTTCTCCAGGAAATGCTCCCACCTTGCCACCTGTGCAAACCCCCTTCTTCGTGAGACGGAATTGTAATGAGCAAGATCGTGAAGGTCACTGAAAACCAGCGGATTCCTAAATTCCCTTGCAAACTGTCCCGGAGGGTAGCCTTGATACACTGTTGTTCGTAGGAATGGCTCTACAATGTAGATAGAAGAGAGGTTGATTGCACTTAGCCAGCACTGCTGCAAGACCAAGGCATGTTCAGCACTTGCTAGCTGCCCATCGTACTTCAGGTTTAGCAGATATCCTTGCAATGGAAAACTGAGTGGTTGTACCTTGATAAACACATTGTTTTCAGCCTTCAGGATGCAGTCTTTCTTTGCATTCTTCCAGTAAATGAAGAACAAGACCGCAAAGTTTGCAGCAAGCAAGAGAGCTGAAACGACTCTAAACTTTGTCGTCATAGTCTCACATAACGATAAATTAAAGCGTCTAAAGTCAGGCATTGTGAGTCTAAACTGAAGATAGCTGGTCTGTTGTGAAACTCTTATAGCTAGCTAGCCACCAAGTCTGTGGTTCAATAACTCAATTGCGCATTGGCCGGATTCCAGCGGACTGCATAAAATGGCTGCCAAACTCGACTCTTTGCACATTACACTCTGCTTGTAAGGGAACAAAGAGACGCTCAGTACTTGTAATTAGGTTCCTTTACCTACTTGTACGCGTACACAGCGGAACACGCTTCGAAGAGTGTTTGTTTGTAAACTGTGCATGCGCAAACAATTTTGAAGAAAAGTGGGCGGGGCTACTGCACCAGAGAAAGGGAAATGTCGTCGGTGAGCATGAGAGTGGCTCGTTGGCTGACTAACCAATGGAGAGGCGCATCAGCCCTGACCTTGCCACAACAGTCTCTGCACCGTCCACCCCCTCTCTCACGACCACTGAGTTCAAGAGCAGGCGTCAGCTACCCCCTGCAGCTGTCGTCCGTGAGCGAGAGCCACGCGTCTCTGTACGAAGAGAGTCTGAAGCACCCCGAGCAGTTCTGGGGCGACCTGGCCAGTAGGAGACTCCGCTGGACCAAGAAGTTTGACCAGGTCATGGACTGCGACATGAGAAACGGCCAGTTCAAGTGGTTCCTCGGCGGAAGCCTCAATGTCTCAGGTTTTTCTTCCATATAACGCGCACCGTAGCTAATGCTTAGGCCACCAGTCGCCTTTTCTTTCTCAAAAATATTTGGTACATCAAAACTTACCAGCATCAGGTCTAAATTGCTGCCAGTGTGCGTATGTTTTGAGGTCCCAAGGGATTAAGATACATGGTGCTGTGCATGGAATTGTATTGCTTCAACTCAGAGAATTGTGTGGACCGACATGCAGAGGAGGACCCTGACAGAGTGGCAATCATTTGGGAGAGAGATGAGCCTGGGGACACCCAGTTCATCACATACAGGTCAGTACACTAGTGGCCACTTTCTCCCTAAATCTAGTCCTTCCAGAACATTGTGCTCTCTAAGTCCCTATTTGGTCATTCCTTTCCGTCTCATTTTATTCTCTAGCTCTTATTCCCCTCTACTTGCTTCATCCCAACTCTCCCTTTCTCTACACCCATTACACTATAGTCAACTGTTGGAGAGCACGAGTCGTATTGCCAATGTGTTGAAGAGAGAGGGAGTGAAGAAAGGCGACATAGTGGCCATCTATATGCCAGCCTCTCCTCTCCTGGCAGCCACCATGCTGGCCTGCGCTAGGATCGGAGCCATTCACAGGTATGTGTATGGGTGTCCCTGCCTGCATTTGCAACTAACCACTAATTATTTACATGTGTAAGCGTACACGAATCGACATAGTTTTACTGAGTCCCAAAACACCCTAATGCTTTTACACTCTCTATACTACTGTAGATATTGAATGGAAGTTAAACATAGACTTAATTCACTCTGTATGCAGCTACGTATACGGTGTGTTTGAACATTTGTACCAATACAAATGTTTCCCATTGTGTCTCTACATGTGTCCCTACATGTGTCGGTGTGTGCGTCTGTGTTTCTGAGGGCAGTGTGGTGTTTGCCGGATTCAGTGCCGAGGCACTCAAAAGCAGGATTCTGGACGGTATGCCAGTAAGATTCCCTCCATGTGCTCTAGTACAAATACACTTACCCCTACATTGTATGCATACCGTTTGTACTCCGCGACGCTGTGTATAAAATGACAGTATACTCTGTGGGTGTTTGAGCTGGATGCCAGGTTGTTAGCCTCCCTGTTCTCCCCTCACATGTCTAATGTGCCAACACGTGCTCCAGTACTTTGTTCTCTTTGCTCGTCGCACTTCGTCATTGTTTTGATCTCTCTCTGAAGCCCGGGTAATTTGCGGGATTTTGTTTACCCCGTTTGGATTGGCAAAGCCATAGTGTGGGGTAGCTACTAACAGTTCAATGTCAAAGCAGATGGTGCACGCCCTAAAGAGAAGTTGTTTTGCGATGAAAGGTTGATTTCTCAAACTTAGGGGTTTGATGCAATAATGTAGAATTCAAACGTTTGCTGTGATAAAGCAGTGGTGGTCATGCGGTCAAGCACATTAATACACACTCTCACTCAATTTGTATATATATACATAGCCAAGATGTGTAGAAGTCAAACTCTCCTCTCTCTCGCCTCTCTTCACAAACTCTATAGCACACAGTATTGTGAAGGGGGATTACTGTGCTTACTGTTCAACCAACAACAGATCAAAGTTTCACAAATGTATAACCTTGTTACTAGGAGTGACGCGATAAATAAATGAAATTGCAATGTCCATTTTTAAACTCTATTGAACATTGAGAGCACTAGTGAAATCATGAGACTGCACACACAGGGGGTCAGTGTCGTGGCAAAGTAAACCAGGCAGAGAATGGCCCCACCACGGATTCTGCCAAGCCCTCCTGTGTGGTAGATTTGATTAGGAGCGTCTAGCAGCCAGCGTCTTGACTGCCTCATCTGGTTAGGAATAATCGCAACTTCCTTAACCCTTCATTGAAACCAAGCCCTTCTGTCCAAATATGTATGCCGCCGCCCAAAAGAAAATGTATTAATAGGGATTATGACCTTAATTTTTACAGACGAATTGAATGTTAAATGATTTAGCCTTGTTCTAGAGGCATGCGTTTGTATTCATTATTCGTATAAGGTTGTTATTGGTATGTGTTAGAATGTATTGCGTGTGTAGGCCCATATTATTTCGTAAGCATGCGGCATGACGAGGGAGGGATTAAAGGAAATTAGCAGAGGATCCCCCCTCCCCTCCCTCCGTCCACCCCTCTTTCCTCCTTTAGTCAGTAATAACCTGTACTTGTTCATGTTGCACCTGTGCTATATGATCCCTTATAGAGCATACTTCTGCCTCATGAACAATATCAATGTCGGTACAGTATGCATATCTTATGCCAGACTATTGCATGTGTTTGTTAACCCTAGCCTACTACACCTGTTTAATTGGCTGCTATTCCTCCTCCCAGCCTCCGCGAGTGTGGTGGTGACAGCAGACGAGGCAGTTCGTGGAGGGAAGACCATTCCTCTGAAGAGTATAGTGGACGAGGCTGTGGGAGGCTGTCAGTGTGTCCAGAGAGTGTTGGTGTCTCAGAGGACCGGAGCCCATGTACCCATGACCCCCAGAGACCTTCAGCTTGAGCAGGTCTCTCCAGCAAAACAAACAATATTCCAGTTTTAAAATTGGCAATCTGAGACTGTGAAAGTTGTCTTAGAAATGTCCTTGATTTTAGCATAGTTAGAGTGTCCTATTATAAGAGGTTCCACCCTACAATCTACATCTATACCACCACCTCCCCCCTCTCTCTAACCCAGGCAATGTCGGAGGTGTCAGACTCGTGTGCCCCAGAGCCTCTGGACAGTGAGGACCCTCTGTTCATGCTCTACACCTCAGGCTCCACTGGGAAGCCAAAGGGCATTCTCCACACTCAGGCTGGCTACCTCCTCTATGCCTCCATCACACAACAGGTTACCCCTCCCCCCTCTCTCTCTCTCTCTCACTGAGTGAGGTTGGTACTGTATGTATGTCTACCACTACAGTATGTGTTTGACTATCGACCTGGAGATGTGTATGCCTGTGTGGCTGACATTGGCTGGATCACTGGTCACTCCTACGTCGTCTATGGTCCTCTCTGCAACGGAGCTACCACCGTCCTATTTGAGAGTATACCCACCTACCCTGACCCTGGTAACAAACATGTATACTACTGCTACAGACATATATACATCTCTAGGTACTATGTATGCACCTGTGAGAGAAGTATATACTTTAGCCAACTGCTTTCATCACAACATGGGGGGTCGCTATAATTAACCTGTTATGTAGGGGTTTCCACAGCCTTTTAGGTTGTGTATGCAGGAATCTGGTGGTAGTCTTAAGGGGGCTGTCATGAATGCTGGCAGCAACAGCCGAAGATTATATAGAGTTGGGTGGGTTCTGATCTAGTGGTGCAGAATGATAGACCAGACCAGAGAGAGGGTGGGGGGAGAGGTTCTCAGGATCTCTATAGAGAGACTCCAGGCCTTGCACTGGGAGTAGCTGGGGACACCAGAGACTCCCTTGGCTGCTCCCGGGTCCCTCCTGATTACATTGTTGGCATTCTTTGTACCGAATGCGCCAAGTCTGCAGAAACATGTTTGAGTGGGAAAATTAGCCCATTGCACTAGCCACAGTTTATAGGTTATGGAATGATCAGCATTCTTATATACATACAAATTGAGACTGGATACACTAAGGTGCTGTTGGTAAAAGCCTATATACCAGTCACATTTCCAAGATCTGAAGTTCATACTGAACAAGTCTTAGCACTCACACTCACATTTTGCATTTCTTCCTCTCTCACTCCCACTTCATTATTGTGTGTATGCTCACTGTACCAGGTCGTTACTGGGAGATGGTGGAGCGACTGGGAGTGAGGCAGTTCTATGGGGCCCCCACAGCCCTCAGACTCCTCCTCAAGGCTGGGGACCACCACGTACACAAGTACGACAGATCCTCTCTCGCCACTCTCGGCTGTGGTGAGTTTGTGTACCCTACCTCTACTGTAGTAGGTTAATACGAGAATGACGTCATTTTAAATGTGAGCATTTCATATATTTACAGATAGTGACCTTAAGTGCATTGCAACTCACGTAAAACATTATGCTATATGTGTTACACCACTGGCCTGGTAGATAGAGGGTATGGATAGGCATAATTACAGACTTGCTTCATGTGGCAAATACTATACGATTAGTATATACAAAGTGCTCTGTTAGGATGAGTACACCTGCTTCATGCTACACAAGTGTTGTAGTAAATTTGTGCACTACATGTGTAGTACTAATCATCATCAAATACCGTACTAATCTCTCCCTCATACCCTCCTTCCCCCTGCTATCCCCTCACTGTGTGTGTAGTGGGGGAGCCCCTGAATGACGAGGCGTGGGTGTGGTACCACAGTGTGGTGGGCGAGGGGCGCTGCACCGTAGTCGACACCTGGTGGCAAACAGGTATTGTTTGTGCACTTGCTCTAGTGGTGAAGTAGAACTCTGAACATTGTATGGATATACACGTGCATGAATAGTGATTAGTACCCATTATTAACAGCATGATTTCATTGTTTTGTCTTCCAGAGACTGGAGGGATATCTATAGCCCCGCGACCCTCCCCCGATGACTCCACCCCCAAACCTGGCTTCCCCATGAGACCTTTCTTTGGCATACAGCCTGTACTGGTCGACGATCAGGTACATACTTACATGTCGGCATAAAACACAAGGACTTCCACCCTACTTTCTACAATCACTCCTAAAGATTATTTGCACTGCACTCTCCAGCTATTACTAAGGTGTTCAGGATTATTGGTTGCTGTGTTCTTCCACCCACTTGCTTGCAAAAAGTACAAACTAAGCCCACCTTTTTTCCACAATAACCTTTGATCATTAAATGCACTGCAATCTCCAGCTCTATTCAAGGTATTGAAAATGGTTGGTTGGCCTGTTTTTCTCCCTAGATGCTTGCAAAAAGTACGAAAAAGTTAGGCTATATACATCCCACCATAATCTTGATAATGCAGCTAGCCTGTCCTTACCCCCACCAGCTTCCAAACACTTAGGCCACCCATTTTTGACGGTTAGTCCTGAAAATTATTTACACTGCCCTCTCAAGCCATAGTCAAGTTATTCAGAATGGTTGGCTAGTCAGTCCTTCCCCATTTGTTAAAAGTACGAAAAGTTTAGGCCACCCTATATTCAACACTCTGCCTATTATCTAAGTGTTCAGTATGCATGGTTAGCTGGCCTGTTCTTCCCCCAACATGCTTGCTAAAAGATAGGCCACTATATTCATTGGTATTCTGGTTGCCTGGGTCTGTCTTCCCCTAATGAACTTTGGCCAACTTGTTTTTCAGTTCCACTGCACTCCCTATAACTATAGTTGGGACGGTTGACTGGCCTGGGCTACTCTTGAGAAATGCACACTCCAGCTACAGCTACTGTATGGTATTCATGAAGGTTGTTTGTTCATCTCCTGCTGCCATGATCCCCACAGGGTAATGAACTACATGGTCCCAATGTGTCCGGGAACCTGTGCATCCGTCACCCCTGGCCTGGGATGGCTCGCTCCATATATGGAGACCACGGGAGGTTCATGGACACCTACTATAGACCTTATCCCGGTGAGCCATGGACGGGTATGACCCTGTTAATTTTAGCCTCGCATTTGTGGGTTACCACTCTCCAACTGCATGTCACAGCTTGTAAGACACTTGTAATGAACCCGCAACTTTTACAAGGCAAAGGCAAGGCAAAGGCAAGGCAAACAACACTTGTACTCAAACATACTACCAGATCATGTCATTTCTCCACCTTAACCAGATTATCAGAAAGCCTACCCACTTGTTTATCTTTCCACGCTTGCATGTCTCTGTGTGTAATGTGAGAAAGTGTGATGTAATGACCACAGGGCTGTATTTCAGTGGAGATGGTGCGAGGAGAGACGGTGAGGGACACTATCAGATCACCGGCAGAGTCGATGATGTCATCAACGTGAAGGGTCACCGCATCGGAACTGCTGAGTTAGAGAGCTGCCTGGTGTGTGTTCATGTGTGTACTTTTCATGCAATGTTGCCTTCCAAATCTCGTCGATATCATGTTTTGTTAATTCCTTATTATTAGGCCCTCAGGTTCTTTGTGTAGTGTCCTCGCTGTGCTCAAAATGCCACAATGCCAAAGGCTCTTGGGCTTCTAATGCATGTATAGATTCACTAATGAGTATATAGTACTAATTGTGAGATTTGACTGTGTTGTGTGATTGACTGCAGGATCATGATCCACGAGTGGCTGAAACAGCAGTGGTAGGATTTCCCCATGATATCCACGGAGAAGGTAAGACCATCCACAAGTACCTGTTTTTATACGAGGTGTCGTTGTGTTTGGCTCAGGTATCTATGGCTACGTAATTCTGAAAGACGGAGTCTGTGAGTCTGACGAGGAGGTGATTAAGGGGCTCAGAAACATTGTGAGGATGCAGATTGGAGGCTTTGCTGTTCCTGAAATACTAATGGTGAATACACCTATCTGTAACTTTCACGTACATAACTATACAGTAGAACCCCTGTCTCGGTGTTTTCTTTATTAGTTCAACATGTCCCTGATTGGGTGCTTTCTTGTGTCCCATTGGGTTTTAAATGTATTATGATGTTGCATATAGTACTTAGTTTTGAACTGGTTTGTAAGTCATCCATGTAATGTTTTCTCTGTCTCTTCGTAATTCTGTGTCTCTACAGATAGTTCCAGGTCTGCCCAAGACTCGCTCCGGGAAGATAATGCGTCGTATTCTGAGGAAGATAGCAGCTGACAGACATGATGAGTTGGGAGATGTCTCCACTCTCGCTGACCCCTCCGTCGTAGAGAAGATTGTCCAGGGACACACGAAGAGGAACAACAACTAATTGTATTTTTGACATGATATTTTTTTGTAGGGCAGTTGGAGTTATCCTATGGTCATACCCAAAATGCACATGCCTACCTAGCTATATAGCATCATAGATGTATGGGGGGAGTTTTGTTCATCTTCTTAAACCAGCATAACTCAAAAACTGATTTTGTAGGAATGTATATATTTATAACCACATGTGCAACGTCATACTTTATTGTTTGTAAACAACAACAAAATTGCCCCATGCGATACATTATAATGGGCATACTACATGTGTCAGCGTAACTCACAATTGGTAAGAGGTATGTGAACGAAAGTTTGTATACACGATGTACTCAATAGCCAACATCAACAATACATGTTTGTAAATAACAACAAATAGCCTCAGGCACTTTTCTTTAAATTTACTTCTTCACTTCTCAAACTTTCCAATGGTAGCACGCATAGAGATGAAACTTGGTAAGTATGCCTATTACATTTCCATGACGATTGCATGTTTCCATGACGGCTGAATATTGTTTTAACAAGCGCGGCGCGGCTTGCGCGAGACTTGTATAATTATACGTGAGTCGGTCGAGTGTGAATATAGGTTAATCTTACTGCGCGTCAATGGATTTAGACGGACGATCCGAGGGTGTAGCTGTCTGAGTGCAGCGAAAACGGCTCCAAGGCCGTCTAAATCGTGTATTTCCATTGACAAGCAGTATAACCTGTTTAGACGGAGGCCGTACCGTGCTGGCCGTCAAAATCGTCCAGGTCCGTCGTCTTCCGCGTGACTCGCTCTCGCTGGGGGAAGCTAAAAACTTCAGTTTAGTTTCTTTTTGCATCGTAGAGAGGCCTTTCATCGAAGAAGCATCGGATATAGGGAGTTTGAAGTCGTCGCGGCGAGCTCTCAGCGACAGAGCGAGTTTCTTTGCGCGGAAACTTGCCAGAGGACGGCATTTTTTGGCGGGCGTCTCCGTGGAAACACGCACTTGACGGCCGCCGATATATACACGTCGGGCGCGCGCGTAAATTTAAAAATTTTGGAAAAGCGATGTAGATGGCTTTGTCACCAACCGAAGTAGTTGCTGCTCTTGATACACTGACAATAGAGAAGACAAAAGAGCTGTTTTTTCATCTCAAGGTCCGACTCGAAACTCTTCATGACATTGACACCAGCCACACAGGAAACATGCGCAAGATCTACTACGTCCAGGCCTGGTTTGACCAGGAGGCGGGGGCCAGTTGGGAGAAGATTGTAGCTGCCCTCAAAAACATAGGAAGGGATGCATTGGCTGAGATCCTGTCCACTCGACACTTGACTCCGTTCAATTTGACCTCCGACCCTCCAGTAAGAGCCCCGGAGGCTAGTGGTCCACAAACCAGTGGATCAACTGTTACGGACCAGCCCGCGAAGGTAAAGCTAGGCTAGGAGTAGGCTAAATCATTCTTCAACAACACACGTAGAAGCTGTTGCGCTTATTGCCGTAGTAGTCTAGCGGCTGGTACCGAGACTGGCTGTAGTCTGGGCACAAGACTACTGCCGCTGTCTAAAACAGCTAATAACCGTGAAATTTCCCCCGAAAGGTTTCTAGCTGAATGCTTTTTGTGTTTCGAGGCCGGGAGATAAACACAAGAATTTGGAGACTATTGTGTATGGCGCTCACATTCTCTGCAGTAGTTACACTAAAGTGCAAACCCTCGGCGAACTACACATGCGCGGTGCCGCTAAATGGTATAGGCCGGCTATTAGCGTTTAGCTCGCGGAGAGTCTGACACGGGCTAGCTACGGTATTAGATAGCATGCGGGAGTCGATACACGCACATTCGCGGTGGCTTCTTGTGCCTCCAAGAGAGCAAGCGGATCAGATGGAGGTGATCGAGCCAGCATATTATATCACGCGTTGATCGCGTATAGTATACGCATGCGCACCGCTTATTGACGGGTCCGGGTGTTGGGCCACGCAACGCGGTCCGCGACTGTGCCATGCAGTTTGTCGCTCTCGAACGCAGTCGTTTCAGGAAAATCGCCCTTTTAATTTTCAGGCTCGTGTAGTACTGAAGCCGCTGGTATCGCTAATAGGCCGCCTCGTAGCCTGTAGTGCCAGAATAAGCGTCGACACACACACACACACACGACAGACACTGAGTTTTGTCCGGATATCTTCACGTAAATGTAGGTCATGAGGTGGAGGAGTGAATATTTAGTGGAACTGAGAGAATCTCACCGGCAAACCAAGAATCGCATAAGTTCTTTGCACTGTTCATCAGTGTCCATAGAACGACTACAGTAACCCTCGCTGCGCATGCGCGCCGAGGGTTAATTAGTTCGCCATCTACCACTATCACTCATTGATACCCACTAGCTAGAAAGTTACACGCCCCTTGAGTGTTATCGCCGCCCCTAGCCTTGTTCCAAGTTCAAATTGACCAGTATTCCAAGTGCGTGTTTCCACGGAGACGCCCGCCAAAAAATGCCGTCCTCGATGGCGGGGGTGTGGCAAGCTTCCGCGCAAAGAAACTCGCTCTGTCGCTGAGAGCTCGCCGCGACGACTCTCACTATATCCGATGCTTCTTCGATGAAAGGCCTCTCTACGATGCAAAAATAAACTAAACTGAAGACCTTTTACCTTCCCCCAGCGAGAGCGAGACGACGGACCTGGACGATTTTGACGGCCAGCACGGCCTCCGTCTAAACAGGTTATACTGCTTGTCAATGGAAATAGACGGCACGAGGGGCCCTTAGTAGCGTCTTCGCTGCGCGCTCAGACAGCTACAGCTCAGGGCCCCTCGTGCCGTCTATTTCTATACGGGTGAAATGTCACGTGATTCGCGTACAAAACGCCTCAAAACTTGGCGAGAAAGACTCACCATTGCTTGAAAATCACTAGCAGTAGTCTACAGGTCAATACCTAGCTATACATACTCCCCAAGACTCCCTACGTGCCCTCAGTTCCCCACGAGAGGATTGGCGATTTCACGATTTTCGTGTCATCATCATCATCATAATATTCTTCGTTACCGAAAATAGTTCAAGTGCTGATTTTTCCATCAAACGTTTCCAGATTCGCCAGAGGTGTGCACGGACATCAAGCGATCGTCTCTTTCGTCACTACGGTAGATCGTTGAGCTCCTCCACTGTAGTCACTGAACAACGCCATTTGCTGCTAACTCAGCATCAGTGAGCCGAGGAGGGGCGTTTCCAATGCGTATTACATAGTCTCGCTCCACGAGATAAAGCCAGGATGCCTGCAGAGGACCTCTCATCCTCCAGCGCCTTCTGTAAGTCAGTACACACATTTATAACTGGCTAGCTTGCTTTTAGCTGTTGATTTGCACGGCCGGGCAGTCTGCGCCGGGTTGGTTACGCGCGGCGTACAAATTACGTTATCCCCGGGGTGTAGCTAATAGTAATCTGATTACTGAAGCCTGCCCATGAAATCGCCACCGTGTGCCACAACCTAATTGCGTCCTTGTTGGAGACACTGCATACACCCCGCTTCAGGCGCAGCAGCCCATTAGCTACTGCTTTCATCAGTTATCTCTACAACATACCCATGAACATTGGGTGACTGATGCTTGTTGACCCACTCCCTATTTCACTCCCGCCATCAGCATCGTAACAGTGTGGTGGATGAGTGGAACATATCACCTGTACAGGTGAAGATTGTGGAGAGAGTGGGGCTCGGGCCTCTCAGAGAGGTCTTCCAGGGCTACTGGCACGTGAAAATGCAGTGTTGTCATAAGCAGTTAAAAATAGTGGAAACAAGTGGAAAAATCATTTCTTCAAAATGAAGGGGGGTATAGGGATGGCTTGAAGCACCAAAAACGAACAAGGGGTCATTACACAGCAAAGATCATGCACAAAGCTACATGACACCATCCCTATATCTTTGTTTTATTGTTTATAGGATATGAGACAAAGATATAGGGATGGTGTCATGTCTTGTGCATCTTTGCTGTGTAATGACCCTGTTTCTTCCTTTTGGTGCTTTAAGTCATCCCTATATCCCCCTTTCATTTTGAAGAAATGATTTTTCCAATGGTCCATGCGTGCTACTGTTAACAAGTATGAGGAGTGAAGAAGTAATTTTAAAGTTTGAGAAGTGAAGAAGTCAATTTAAGCTAATTGTATTGTTGTAACTTTGATGTTGGTAATTGACTACATTAACAAAGTTTCATTCACATAGCTCTTGCCAAAAGACACATGAAACCATCCATCCCTCGGCACGCATGCGCAGCGAGGGTTACAGTACTTGGTTGGTGTGTCTGTGTGTGTGTGTCGGTTACCACGTTTTCTGCCATTAGGTGCAACGATACAGCCAATAAGCTATGCCAATAGGTTTGGCGCTACACTGGCTTGATTTTGAAACTGGCGATTTTCGTAAAAATACTGCGTTTGAAAGTTATGGCGTGAAAAGCAAGTGAACAAGCCAATATGCAAATTAGCACAGACTTACCTCGACACGATGTGCTTGCTCTGCGTACCTTGGAGGCTCAAGAAGTCTCAACGAAGGGGGTGTATCGACTCCCGCATGCTTTCTACTACTGTAGCTAGTTCGTGTCAGACTCTCCGCGAGCTACTAGCGGACGTACTACGGCCCAGCCCATCAATTAGCGGTATCGTGCTTGCGCAGTTCGCCGAGGATTTGCGCTTCAGTGCTTTTCATTTGTAAATGGTGTTTGTGCCAACAACTTGCTCGTTTGGTGAGTCCTCTAACAATGAAACTTAGTACACTAACGTACTTTGGTGGTGAAAGAAACATGTGAATGAGCAAAAAAAGTCTGACTAATAAACGCTTAATACTACTTTTTATATGGACATCCCTGTCTTGTCTCTTTGCTTTTGATACCATCCCTATGTACTTAGAATTTTTAGTTTACTGATTCTGGTGAAAACCACAAACTGCAAACCCTCAGTGCAAGTAACATGTGTACATTGATCTGCTTGCGCAAAAACAACCACGCCTGGCCTGTGCCACGTGGTCTGTCTTAGGGCCTGCACATTTAGTGTTTTTCATTTGAACAGAAATTGATCGGTGTTCTTCAAGACCTGGTGACAAAGAATGAATCTATGCAACGCGAGCTAGCTGAGGTTCAGCACCAACTAAAACATAAGGTATTATACATACATTTGGCAAACAATGTTTTTTCTCTCAAACTAGCAAATAACTAGAGGAAGAAGAGTTGCAAATGCGAGGGTGATGCAAAAAGTCACACAATAGTTAATTTCGTTAAGAGTTCTGCCTTCGAAAGTTATTGTGTGAAAACCAAGTGAAAAAGCCATTATGCACAGGCTTACCTCGACCAGATCTGCTAGCTCTGCATACCCAGAAGTTGCAACACAGGGCGAGTATCGACTCTTGCATGCTATCCAGTAGTGTAGCTACCCCGTAACAAACTCTCAGTGAGCTTACTACTGTACATACTCGTGGTCCAACCCATCAATTAGTGGTACCGCGCATGCGTACACAAGTGCGTAGTGTGCCGGGGGTTTCACTTTAGTGCTATTCAGTTTAGAGGTATCGTGCAAGGGTCATTGATTGGTTTTGCCGCCTACATACTTATTGCAGGGACATCATATAAAGAAACTTAATTATGCTTGGGGGATCATCTGTACTGTGCTTTAGTTCCTATCCTGACTCTCACTGCTGGCATGACTTCCCATACCTTTGCGTGAAGGCCACATCCGGACATTGGCAAATAGAAGAGGATAGATAAGAATGCAGAACATCACGATCACTAATGCCCATGTGTACGTGTCCCTGCAAGCTCATGTGCAAAGTATGATGAGGACACATGCGTGTTGGTCGTGACAAAATGATGGACCTGGGCACGGTAAACAAAGTAGGCTGGCTTTGCACACAGTCTGTGGGGCATGCATGGACCCCAGTTGGCACAGGCAACACTTAGAGCATGTGTAACAATGCTGCCGTGTGAGAAAGCAACTGCACCAGCACTCAGTGCGCATGTGCAGCGAGGGTTGTAAGTCATCTGTCCGTCTGTCTGTCTACACTTCATAATCTCGGCATCTCGCGCTATTACACATGATACTAGCTTATTGGGTATGCCAAGTTATTCAAGCTCTAAAACCGAAAGTTAGAGAGGCATGCGACCGACTTTAGACAAACACGTTTTGCCGGGTCCTACCTTATTGCCCCTTGTTCATCAACATATAGTGTGAATCGGTCTTGCGCACTTA